TAATCGCAGGGACAGCAGATTGGATAAAGCGGTATATATTGATATATATTAAACTGTTAGATTTATTTCTTTGAACAAGGTTTAAAATAACTATTCAAATTAGATGCCAGACTTATGATGGGGGGATTGGTGGGGAACCAGGCCTTGAAGCGCACGGCGGGTACGCGTTCTGCGGCCTTGCTGCGATGGAAATACTTGGGAAAACGGATTTGTTAGACATTCCATCACTTTTTGTAGGTGACTTATAACAAGAGATGTTAAATTGGTTTGATTCGGATCATAGGACCAAATATTGATGATCTGAAATGTAATCCGACATGTCCTATGTGAATACTAAACGATTTTTTTGTGTAAGTTATTCGGCCATCTCCTAATACAAATACACAAATTTTCATCACCTCTTAGGAGGTGAGTGAAAATTTGTGTATTTGTATTAGAAGGAGGCCGAATAAGTTACACAAAATCGTTCGGTGTTCACATAGGACATTTCGGATAACTCAGTTATCAGTCGAGTCTTAGTATTGATTACTGATTTTTTCATAGTAAATATCCTAGTGAATAATCAGTTATCATCCACAACACGACAGATAACTAGTACGTATATAATACTTAAATATACATAACTTCGAATGATTCAAAAGAACGATTTAATATCTCATTTCACATGTATATGTTATATTTGATGATAAATCATGAATTTACAAATATTGGTTCATTATTTAGCGTTGGGCTTCTTCCCTTCAAATGCAACTCGAGGGAGGTTTCCAAGGTCGGCCAAATAAATTAGTAGATGGATGTTATTCGTTTTGGGTTGGTGCATTGTTCCCTGTTTTGGAAGCTATCATGACACGACAACAGTTAGAAAAAAATAATACAAATTGCGAAGAGCTTCATGAATTTGTTGGTATGTATTGATTATGTATTAGTTAAATATTTACATGTTTTATAAACGACTAATATCTGGTTTTTTACAATATTCAGCTCAACCTTTATTCGATAGAGGTATTTGTTTTATTTTTTTGCCAACTAAATACGTATATACTAAAGCATTTAAAAATTTATAGAAGCACTTCAGGAATATCTTTTGATAGCTTGTCAATATCCAAAGGGTGGGTTAATTGATAAGCCAAAACGTAGTCCGGACTATTATCACACTTGCTATTGCTTAAGTGGTCTATCGACTTCACAACATCACGTAATTTATGACGTTGAAAAAGCTACATCTTCAGGCGTAAAACAGGGTGAGCTCAATGCTGGAGATAGATCCTTACTGTGGTCTGAAGACGAGACAAGGATTTTAATTCTTGGTGATCCTAATAACATTGTGGTTAGTTGAAATACGCATTGTCTTTAACTTTATAATTGTTGATTAAGTTATAAATGCTTCTCATACTTTCTAGAATGCTACGCATCCTATTCATAATGTAACTATGCCAAAAGTTAAAAAAATTATTGAATATTTTCGCGACAAGCCTTGCAGTTTTTAGGTGATCTAAATGGCTATCTTTCGTCAAGGATGTTATTTATATTATTAAATGCTTATACGCAGTTTTCCTGATAAATTCTAAAATTTTGCTAGTCATCCAGTAAGCTGGTTTTAATTAACCTTTTAATTAATTGGCTTTTTACATCATGTGAGTCATATATTAAGCAAATGGGCTTTATTAAGTAGGCAATGCAAAAGTTAGTAAAAGAATAATTACAATTTATTTTTAATTTAGCTTTATATACAATATATACTTTTGTCTGGTGCGTAATAGAGACTTTTATTCTCTACGTGAAGTGATATAAAAATTACGGATCAAATATGGTATAGTCGATCTCATTAATAAAATCAATTATTAATTGATTGATTTATTAATGGGTTCTATACTGTAATTAATTCATAATTATATTTTTTTTGATTAGGATAGGTGTCAAATAATTAACATGCCTAATATATTAAATTGTAATATAATTTTTTTGCATAAATCTGTGCCCGGCTTATAACTCTATCCAATTAAATAGGCAAATTTATATTACTATTATCTAATATTTGTATTTTTTTTAAACCAATTTTGTGCAATGTTGTTTTTTGAACATATGAGTGCTGCAAAGCAAAAATCTGTAACTGGTTATAGTAAATTATTATGATTAGTTACAGGTTTTTGCTTTGCAATATTTGTATAAACTATATAGTTATTTTATAATAGTTATAGTTTTAAAATTACTATATATTAGCTTTTTTTTGAATATTAATGGTGAGATTATGTTTTTTTCTTTATTGAAATTCAATTAACTCTTTTACAAAGAAAAGAATATACTACTCTTTTATAGAAAAAAGAATAATTTAAACTTTATATTTTAAAATAGCAAGAAAATAAACTTAGACTAGTTTATTTGTGGCCTAAACCAACTATATAGAATGGTCATGGTTTACCTAGATTTGTAGATTAGTAATTATATAATTAAAGTTTATTTGATATTTAATCTATAAAAAATATCAAAGTTCTATTTTAGCTTTAGCTAAAGTAAAAGGTAAAGGTTGTGAAGGATTAAGAATTTGGAGAAGATTGAAATGATATAATATTATTAGAAGAATAAATTAAAAAATAAGAGATATAGTAAGGTATCTGGATATTGTAATAGATTTGTAAATTAAGATGTAAAAGAAATTTATAATAATTGTAGAAGCTAGCTTAGAAGATAATGTAGTGTTTTTAATTAGATTTATAATATCAAGAGAAATAAGATCAGATAAGGTAAAGATAATAGATGAAGTATTGTAATTGTGATGAAGTATTATACTGTTTAAGTTTTTAATTTAGTTATGAAGTGTACCTAATAATATTGAATTAACAACCTGTTATAGTGAGTTGTCAATGAGGTTTTGAAGTAGTATAGGTAATAAACAAATAACCCAGCATAGTGAAGTACTAGTCTGGTTATAATGATAACAATTAGATAAAAGATAATAATTATATTTATATAGTATATAAGAATAGACAGCTTATTGGAAAGAATTTTAATTCGAAAAGATTTCAGAGTAGAAAATAAGAAACTGTGAATAATTAAAGATTTTTTAATTATTATTTATATAAAGTCATATAGCAGACCAGTTGATATGAGTAGTAATTTGAGACCACTATTAAAACCTGTATTAAAAAGTTTACAAAGTATAAATTTATGCATAGCAAATAATACAGATGATGCATCAGATTGATAATTCTAAAAAATATTCATCAAATTGAAAAATATAATTGGGATTATAAATATTATAAAGTTTAAAGAAAAAACTCTGAGATAAGATAGCAATGAGCCATTGATTAGTGAAATTATTGAATCAATCTTCTTGGTATTGTTACAAGTGGACTGTAGCCTTCTTAATACAGCACAAGTAACAAAGCACACAGCTATAGAGCTCCGTTG